GAGTTGGGTTGGCAAAGAAATCAGTGGTCTGTGCATATGCTTTTTCCTTGTAGCCTGGTCCACATTCTTGTGATTTGAAAGAGCCACTCTTTTTTTTTTTTTTAGTTGGAGTCTCACTCTTTTGCCTAGGCTAGAGTGCAGTGCCACACTTACGGCCACTGTAGCCTTGACCTGCTAGGCTCAGGTGATCCTTCCACCTCAGCCTTCCAAGTAGCCAGAACTACAGCCATGTGCCACCACGCTCAGCTAATTTTTGATTTATTGTGGAGATGAGGTCTCACCAAGTTGCCCAGGCTAGTCTTGAACCTTGGCTTCCCAAAGTGCTGGGATTGTTGGCGTGCCTGACCTTTTTTTTTTAGTAAAAAAGTTACAGTAAATTTTTTAGAGACGGTCTTGCTCTATTGCTCAGGCTGGAGTGCAATAGCACAGTCATAGCATACTGTAACCTTGAACTCCTGGGCTCAAGTGATCCTCCTGTCTCAGTCTCCCAAAATCCTGGGATTACATATGTGAACCACTGTACCTGGCCAAGATAACTGTTCTTTCTCTGAAAGCCCCTGCAGCCTATTGGAGTTAACATCCTTTTCCTGGTTGCATGTTCTGTTGGACTGAAGGTAAGAGCAAAGGAGCATGTTAAGCAGTGGCCATTGGCTCCTCCTCCAGGATTTTTTGCCATTTTTTTTGTACCACTACAGACAGTTTTAGTCATGCATCAGACTTTTCTATTACATCGTTAAATACTATTTATTTTCTATGAAGATGCTTTTTTTTTGAGTTGGGATCTTACTCGTTGCTGAGGCTGGAGTGCTGTGACATGATCGTGGCTCACTGCAGCCTCAAACTCCTGGTCTCTAAGCGATCCTCTTCCTCTTCATCCTCCTGAGTAACTGGGACTACAGGTATGTGCCACTATGCCCAGCTAATTTTTTGATTTTTTTGTAGAAATATGGTCTTACTATGCTGTCTAGGCTAGTTTCAAACTCCTGGACTCAAGCAATCCTCCCACCTCGGTTTCGCAAAGTGCTGGGATTACAGGTGTGAGCCACAGTATCCAGTGAATATTGCATATTTGAATGTAAATGATGAAGAAAACGTCCAGAAAGAGGCATTTGAGGAGTATATTTGGAAGTGTAATCTTTATTTGTATGTGTGTTTTTGATCATTCAGGAAAATGTTACCTATTTGTAGAGGTTACTATACTGCTTATTCCATGCGAAAGTAAGTCTTTGAAAATGTTCTTATATTTCAGATGAAAGAAACTGTTACTTAAACCAATATTCAGTGTTTTAAAAGTTCTGGTAGTTTGGATACTTAAAATATTTTGAGGCACTTGGCTAATTGTTGACTCAAAATTTGAAGTCAAAAGACAAAAAAGAATAACTTTTTTTCTGTTGTAGGTAAAGGGAGAAGATGAGGAAGAGAACAATCTGGAAGTACGAGAAACCAAAATTAAGGGTAAAAGGTAAGTTAACAAACAATATCTGACAGATGATGTCTGTTTTTATGATGGTCTTCAGATGTCCATCACAAGTGCTGTCAAGAAAGCCACTTGGTTAAATTGATGCTGAAAAACGAGCAAACAATATCTGTATCCTGTCTCTTCTTTTTATTTTTTATTTCTTTTTAACGGTTTTCATGCCAGAGTTGGAATCATAAGCTAGGAGAGTTCCTAAGGAAGTATCTGGTGTATTAGAGGATGTTTTAATTAATATAGTATATGGTAATAAGCAACAGGTTGTAATATATTCTGGACCCATTTATGTCTTCTGATTACTAATGCTGAGATTGGATTCCCCTAAACAGTGGTAGTTTGTTTACTACAAGAACCTAGTTACTTTTTTTTTTTTTTTTTTTTGAGCTGGAGTCTCACTCTGTTGCCTAGGCTGGAGGGCAGAGGCACATTCACGGCCACCACAGCTTCGATCTACTGGGTTCAGGTGATCCTTCTGTCTCAGCCTTCCAAGTAGCTGGAACTATAGGCATGCACCACCATGCCCGGCTAATTTTTTGATTTATTGTAGAGATGAGGTCTCGCCAAGTTGCCCAGGCTGATCTCGAACCCATGGGCTCAGGTAATCCTCTCACCTCCACCTCCCAGAGTGCTGGGTTTATAGATGTGAGCCACCGTGCCTGGCTATAGTTACTTTCTGTACTAGGTCAAGTCTGGTTCCACAGACTCTTATGGGAGAACTTTAAGCTGTTTGCCTCAGCAAATATCCTCCTAGCTATGGTTGGTTGACTACCATTCTGTTGCCAAGAGGTAGACAACCTTCCCACTGTACTCCCACCTCCAAGCCTTCAGGGCATTCAAAGTGAATTCTATAAAGGCTGGGAATGGACTTGAATTGTTCTCTCCTCTAACCTCAGCACTTAGTACAGGGCCTGGAACTTATTAGTTATTTGAAAACACTTTTTATTAATAAACATATTAAAGCACTTTTTTTTGAGTTGGAGTCTCAAAAAGCAAGGCATTCCTGTCACCAAGGTGGAGTGCAGTGGCATGTTCATGGCCACTGCATCCTCAACCTGCCGCATTCAGGTAAGTAGCTGGAACTACAGGTGCCCGACACCATGCCTGGCTAATGTTTTTGATTTCTTGTAGAGATGAGGTTTCACCACGTTGCCCAGGCTGGTCTTGAACCTCCAGGTTCAGGCAATCCTCTTGTCTCCGCCTTCCAAAATGCTGAGATTATACGTGTGAGGCACCACGCCTGGCCACCCAGCTAATTTCTTGATTCTTTTTTTGTAGAGACAGGTCTTGCTATGTTACCTAGTCTGGTCTCAAACTCCTGGGCTCAAGCAGTCCTCTTGCCTTGGCCTCCCAAAGTGCTGTGATTATAGGCATGAGCCACCATGCCCAGCCTGAGTTCAGGTTAGGGAATGCTTTGGGTACTATTATTAGAGGTGTGGACTGCATCCTAAGCAGTTGGGAGTATTTTAAAACTTTTAAAAAATAGGTACTATTTTATTTCTATTTATGAGCATACACATTACATAGATTTGTCCTTACTACCTTTTCCTGTCAGGGAAACTGACATGTATGGGGTTCTCAGCAAATCTGTTTGAGTAGATGAGTAATTGCTTTAGTTTATCCACCAAAACCAAATCCTTCACAAAATTCTGTCCCATTAGATTCAGCTGGAGAAGAAAGATAGAAAATAAAAGTCTGTTCTTTATACACCAGTATAATTGACTGAAACCTTTATTAGCTGATGCTTCCACTTTTCAACAAGAATCGACATTCCTATTGGTGACCCTGGAACACTGTTCTGATTTGTCTTCTAAATCATCAAAGCAAGATTCAGTTTTATGGCAATATTTAGCAATTTGTAAAATTTTGTTTTAGATTAGAAAATATAGTTTATTTAGAAAATACATGTGAGAGAAAGAGAGAAGACTCACCTCTCCAAGGAAGGAGAGAGGTCCAGAGCTTAAAAAACATGGCAGTGGCCACAGCTCAAAGAGCATATGGGCACACTACAGTCTAGTAAAGCAATGGCCAATTTGTAAAATTAAGATGGGAGTGGCACTGTCAGATTATGTAGATGGGCTGGAGGGAAAAGCATTAGGAGATTAAGAGGAAGAGATACAATAATCTAGACAAGGGATAATGGTTTGAATGGTGGAGGAGGAGCCAAAGTATGAATCAGAGGGATTTCTTTTTATTTTTTGAGTCTGTCTCACTCTGTCACTCAGGCTGGAGGTCAGTGGCACACTCATGGCCAACCCAGCATTGACCCGCTGGGCTTAGGCAGTCCCTCCACCTCAGCCTTCCAAGTAGCCGGAACTACAGACATGCGCTACCTGGCTAATTTTTTTAAAATTTGGATATATTGTAGAGACAGGTCTCACCAAGGTGCGCAGGCTGGTCTCAAACCTATGGGCTCAGGCAGTTCTCTTGCCTTGGCCTCCCAGAGTGCTGGGATTACAGGCTTGAGCCACTGTGCCTGGCCCAGAGGCATTTCAAAGGCAGAATTGACCAGATATGGGGGACAGAATAGAGTGAGGCATCAGATAATGTCTGAAGATTCTATCTTAGAGTTGGTTATATGGTAATGGTATTTAAAAAGTTAGGGAATTGGGATTATGAGTGAGATGGACATGTTGAATTGTCTATGGGGTGATCCATGGAGCCATCTAGTTTAAAGCTCAGGACAGAGAGTGCATTGAGAAGCAGATTAGAGAATTGAAGCCAAGAACTGTATAAGGCTGTCCAGGGAGATGAAGAAGCTGCTTATATTTTGAGTGGTGAACTTCAGAGTAGTGATATGAAGTATATGATGTGATGGAAGAAGACATACAAGTTTAGAGTTCTGTAAAAGTCATTTTAGGAAAAGTGATCCATGTTCTAACCTTTGAGGACAAATTCATAGGAGCATGTGAAAATGCCTTCAGATTTGTTTGTTTGTTTGTTTGTTTGAGTCAGAGTCTCGCTCTGTTGCCCAGGCTAGAGTGCAGTGGCATGCTCATGGCCACCACAGCCTCAGTCTGGTGGGCTCAGGTGAGCCTTCTGCCTCAGCCTCCCAAGTACCTGGAACTATAGGCACACGCCACCATGCCCGGCTAATTTTTTGATTTATTGTGGAGATGAGGTCTCACCAAATTGCCCAGGCTGGTCTTGAACACCTGGGCTCAGGCAATACTCTTGCCTCCACTTCCCAAAGTGCTGGAATTATAGATGCGAGCCACTGGACCTGACCTTCAGTTTTTCACTAATGGTTTTTTTTTTTTGGTTTTTTTTTTTGAGTTGAAGTTTCTCTCTGTCACCCAGCTAGAGCGTAGTAGTACACTCATGGCCACCGCACCTCAACCTATTGGACTCAGGCTATCCTTCTGCCTCAGCCTTCCAGGTAGCTCAAACTTCAGGCGTACGCCATGATGCCTGGGTAATTTTTTTTTTTTTTTATTGTAGAGATGAAGTCTCACCATGTTGTCCAGGCTGGTCTCGAACTCCTGAGCTCAGACAATCCTTTTACCTTCACCCCCCAAAGTGCTGGGATTACAATTGTGAGCCACTGTGCTCGGCTAAATTAATAGTTTAGGGATGATTTCTTAAAGTTAAGTGCTTTGGTCTTGGGTACAAAATTTTGTTGTGACTTTGAATTGCTAGATCTGTTTTCAGTTTCCTCATTTTGCCTTGTTTTTTCTTCAGTGGGAGATTCTTCACAGTCAGGCTTCCAATTGCTCTTGATCCTGGGGCCAAGATTTCAGTCACTGTGGAGACAGTCTACACCCATGTGCTTCAGCCGTATCCAACCCAGATCACCCAGTCAGAGAAACAGTTTGTGGTGTTTGAGGGGAACCATTATTTCTACTCTCCCTATCCAACGAAGGCACAAACCATGCGAGTGAAGCTTGCTTCCCGAAATGTGGAGAGCTACACAAAGCTGGGGAACCCCACACGCTCCGAGGACCTTTTGGATTATGGGCCTTTCAGAGACATCCCTGCCTATAGTCAGGTAGGTAAGGGTCAGGTGGAGTCTAGCCCAGCCCTGTCTGCTTTAGACAATGTCTTGCAGAGTTTGACTGCTGGATGATAGACTTGGGTTGTGTGGGGTGCATGGAATCTGAAGCCATTTCTGAGATATTCCCTGAAGTTTTAACCTGCTGTGAATTGACCCCATGGGGGTCACACTTATCCTTTTGGGAACACAGGTAGAGGCTGGGATTTGCAGGGGTAGGATGGGATTTGGGTGAGATGGAAGCAAGACATTCCTGGCAGAAGCAGTAAGAGGGACAAAGGCCTTCAGATGGCAAGTATGGAGATCGTAAAGCTGTCTGGGTAGCTGAGGGCCTTGAATACTGGGCCTCAGTTGTGATGTGAAGGGAGAAGGAATAGTTAGGACTTAAAAAGATTTTGTTGTTATAGCAAATTTCAAACATATGCGAAAGTAGAAAGACTAGCATAAACTCCCAAACGAGAATCACTTAGATTCGGTGGTTGTCAAGTTACCACATTTGCTTTGGCTATTTTTTGGGGGGTGGAGTATTTTATTTATTTTTTGAGTTGGAGTCTCACTCTGTCGCCCAGACTGGAGTGCAGTGGCATGCTGCTGGCCACTGCAGCCTTGGCCTGCTGGGCTCTGGTGATCCTTTTGCCTCAGCCTTCCAAGTAGTTGGAACTACAGGCGTGCGCTACCACACCTGGCTAATTTTTTATTTATTGTAGAGACAAGGTCTCGCCAAGTTGCCCAGGCGGGTCTCTAACCCGTGGGCTCAGGCCATTCACTCACCTCAGCCTCACAAAGTGCTGGGATTACAGGCTGAGACACCGAGCCCGGCCTGGTGGAGTATTTTAAAGCAGATTGTCAGAGTCATGCCTTTTCATCCTACCTATTTCCGTATCATCTCTAAAACATATGGATATTTTAGGAATTTAAGATTTCTTTGCATCTCCATGTGTTTAGAACATGTGTCACTAAGGATGTACAGTCAAAATAGTTTGTTTTAATGTCACTTGAAATAATTGTTTCTCTGTTTTCTGTCTCTCAAATGTCAGTTTGATATATAGTTAGGGGTACAGTTTATCATTTGGGGTTGTTTCAACTTTTCTTTTTTCCTGAGTCAGAGTCTAACTCTGTCACCCAGGATGGAGTGTATTAGCACGCTCATGGCCATGGCAGCCTTGACCTGCTAGGCTTAGGCATTCCTTCCACCTCAGTCTTCCAAGTAGCTGGAACCCCAGGTGTGTTGCCACCTTCCTCAGCTAATGCTTTGATTTATTGTAGAGATCTTTTTTTCTTTTTAGTTGAGTCTTACTCTGTTGCCCAAGCTGGAGTGCAGTGATATACTGCTCATGGCCACTGCAGGACTTGACCTGTTGGACTCAGGCAATCCATCCGCCTCAGCCTTCCAAGAGCTGGAACTATAGGCATGCGCCACCACGCTGGGCTAATTTTTTGATTTGTTGTAGAGATGAGGTCTCACCATATTACCCAGACTTGTCTTGAACACCTGGACTCTGGCAGTCCTCTCTTCTCGGCCTCCCAAAGTGCTGGGATTACAGGTTTGAACCACCATGTCTGGCCAATTTTAATTTTTTTTTTTAGATTACAGAATATGGTTTATTTAGAAAGTAAATTAGAGAGAATGAGAAAGAGGTGATTCACCTCCCCAAGGTAGGGGAGGGGGCCAAACCTAGGAAACATGACTTGGCCATAACTCAAAGAGAACATGGCCACACTATCGCTTAACAAGGCAGTGGCCCAATTTTAATTTTTTTAAATGTGGAGATGGTGTCTTGCTGTGTTTCCCAGGCTGGTCTTGAATTTCTGTCCTCAAGCGATCATTCTGCTTTGGCCTCCCAAAGTGCTGGGATTAACAGGTGTGAGTCACTGCACCTGGCCGTTTTCTGCTTTTAAGAATTTTTGAAATTTTATTTTAGCATTTATTTATTTATTTAGAGACAGGGTTTCACTTTGTCACTCAGACTGGAGTGCAGTGGTGTGATCATAGCTCACTGCAGTCCCAATTCCTGGGCTCAAGTGATTTTCCCTACTTGCCTCCCGAAGTGCTAGGATTACAGACATGAACCTAGCCCTGAATTTTTAAAATTTATTTATTTTTTTATTTTTGAGTTGGAGTCTCACTTTGTTGTCCAGGCTGGAGTGCAGTGGCGTGTTGCTCATGGCCACCACAGCCTCGACCTGCTGGGCTCAGGTGATCCTTCTACCTTAGCCTTCCAAGTAGCTTCTACTACAGGCATGGACCACCATGCCCAGCTAATTTTTTGATTTACTGTAGAGACAGGGTCTTGCCATGTTGCCCAGGTTGATCTTGAAACCCTGGACTCAGGTAATCCTCTTGCCTCTGCCTTCCAAAGTGCTGGGATTACAGGCATGAGCCACTGTGCCCAGTTGAATTTTTTTATTAACTTAATTTTTTTGATTTGAAAATATGAACATGATTCTGTATTCAAAATTAGGTAACAAGTTATATTCAGAGACTTTTTTTTTTTTTGAGTTGGAGTCTCACTCTGTCGCCCAGACTGGAGTGCAGTGGCCACTCCCGCACCGCAGCCTCGACCTGCTGGGCTCCAGTGATCCTTCTGCCTCAGCCTTCCGAGTAGCCGGAATTACCGGCATGCGCTACCACGCCCGGCTGATTTTTTGATTTATTGTAGAGATGAGGTCTCACTGCCCAGGCAGGTCTCGAACCCGCGGGCTCAGGCAATCCACTCACCTCAGCCTCCAAAAGGCGCGGGATTACAGGCTGAGCCACCAAGCCTGGCTTTTGTGGAGATTCTTTCAGCATGTTTGCCCATTTCATGATAAGTGACCACACCTACCCACATACCATACTGAGTATTCAGCAGTTTTTGACCAAAACCAGCAAGCATGACCCCTGTGCCCCAGCCCTCCCTATTCACCCAGTCTCACCCCAAGCAACTTTTTTTTGTTGTTTTTCTGGATGAGAAAAGTCCTCAAAGGGAAATGTTTTGCCAGTGTGAAAGAGGTGAAACCAAAAACGGCTGAGTGCAGTGGCTCACGCCTATAATCCCAGCACTGTGGGAGTCAGAGGTGAAAGGATTGCCTGAGTCCAGGGGTTGAGACCAACCTGGATAACTTGGCAAGACCTCATCTCTACAATAAATCAAAAAATTATCCAGGCATGGTGGCGCTTGCCTGAAGTTCCAGCTACTTAGAAGGATGAGGCAGGAGGATTACCTGAGCCCAGCAGGTCGAGGCTGTGATGTCTGTGAGCGTGCCACTGCACTCCAGCCTGGACAACAGTGAAACTCCTACTCAAAAAAAAAAAGAAAGAAAGAAAAGAAACTAAAAATGGCAGAAGTACTAAAAGGCATCAAAATTGATGAGTTCAAAAACTGTTTTGAACAGTGGAAAAAGCATCTCAGTAGATGGTATTACATTAAGTAGAGAGTACTTTGAAGGCGACTGAAGTTTAAACATGTACAAATACACAATTTTTAATTAATTCTGGGTTTTTTTGAATCACCCGTATATTTCAGCCCTGAGCTACATCTACTCTTACCCACATCCATTCCCACCCCTACCTCTGTTAAAATCTTGAACTTTCCAAGAGTTGAGGTCTAATCTTATCCATTGTGATATTTCCATCCCTGGGATATGACTCTGTTTTTGAGTCAGAGTCTCACTATCACACAGGCTGGAGTGCAGTGGCACGCTCACAGCTACCACAGCCTTGACCTGCTGGGCTCAGGTGATCCCTTCTGCCTCAGCCTTCCAAGTAGCTGGAACTAAGGCATGCGCCACCACACCCAGCTAATTTTTGGTTTATTGTAGAGACAAGATCTCACCAAGTTGACCAGGCTGGTCTCAAACCCTAGGCTCAGGCAATCTTCTCGCCTCTACCTCCCAAATTGTTGGGTTACAGGCTTGAGCACTGCTCCCAGCCAGAATATGGCTCTTAATATGTATTCCGTGTTTGCTAAATGATTAAGTGAATGAACAAACAACAAATAAACAAACTTCCTACTCTCATAGAACTTACAACCAACTGAGGCAGGAGGATTGCTTGAACCCAGGAGTTCAAGACCAACCTAGGCAACATAGGAAGACCTTGTCTCTACAAAATATCAAAAAATTAGCTGGGTGTGGTAATGCGTGCCTGTAGTCCCAGCTATTTAGGAGGCTGAGGTGGAAGGATCACCTGAGCCCAGCAGGTAAGGTTGCAGTAAGCCATGATTGTGCCACTGTACTCCAGCCTAGGCAACAGAGTGACCCCAGCTCACAAAAAAAAAGAACTTACAGCCTACTTAAGCAGACAGGTATGAATTAAATTTCCACATAAATGTGTGCATATTTACACATGGAGATGTATGCGCTCTTCACTGAAAAGAACAAAGTTTGAGGAGAAGAGCCTGAGTCCAATTATCGTCTTAGCAAATTTGAGCCATCCAAACAAGACATGGGGCAGACTGGTATATATGTCTGATGCAGAAAGGAGAGCCTTTCTCAAAAGATAGCCTTTCAGCTACAGCTGTGAACATAGGTAAGAGCTGATAGAATATCTAATGAGAGGATAGAGTGAAAAGAACTATATTGAGGAGGAAAGGCCAGCAAAGAAGGCTGAGGAAGATTTGCCAGAGAAGTATAAGGAACATGGGGAAGTGTGGCCACAGGAGCCAGTAGAAAGAATCTTTCCAGAAGAGGGAGCATCAGCACCATCAAATGCCACTTCCAGAGGTCACCAAACCCAACTCTCCACCTGGCCTGCAAGGCCCCCACTCATGTACCACCCGCCCCTCTCCCCTCAGCCCATTACTTGCCAGGCCATCTTCTTCTTTCTGAAATGAGCCATCTTCCTATTGTCGGGCTTTTGCACTCCCTGCTGCTGAAACACACTTCTCTCAGCTTTTGTTATGGTCTCCACATCTCAACTCAGAGACCCCCTTCTCAACAAGGCCTTCTTTGACCACCCCTTAAAGTAGCCCTCCCCCCTGGTGATTTTCTGTCACATCTGCCTGCAGTTTTTTCTTCATAGCATCTATCATGATCTGCAGTTATCTAGTTTATCATCCAGATCACCCGCAGTATATAAGTGCCACAAGAACTTATCCTGGTTACTGCTGTGACCCCAACATTTATGTCCTAGAAATTGAATATTTATTAAAGGAAAAATGGCAGTTTACTGAGGATTGTGTATTATGCTAATGAATTTAGTTAGAAAAAATATATAGTATATATTTACATGGAAAAATGAGGAAGAATGACATTGAAATGTTCAACAGTAGTTTTCTGTAGGTAATGAAATTTCAGGCTTGACTTTTTTTGTTTTGCTTATTTACATTTTCAACAGTGATCATTAATAACTTAAATTTTAAAAACATTAAATGTCTATTTGTATACAGATAAATATACATTTATGTATTTGTGCCTTTGTTATTGACCATGGAAAAGTTTTAACTTCAGTTTGGAGTTATGTTCATAAAAATAGAGGCAGGGTGTGTTTACCCACCAAAATAATGACTATTAACACTTCGTCTTTTCCTTCAGGCAAAGCTACTGTTTTCAGATGGAGAAAAAGTAATACCCAGGTTGACACATGAGCTTCCAGGGATAAAGGTTAGAGTCACTGTGTCCTGGAGTATTGGAGGGGGAGACCAATCAGCCTGGGAGGCAGGTGAAATATGTGGGCCCAGGGAAGTTTCCTGCACCACCCATTTGTAGGATGAGATCCAAATAGCATCATGCTGGATGGGCTTCTGAGACCTCGGTCAGGGTCGGGCTGGATGAATATAGTCCAAGGGCTCTGTCTTCTGCAACCAGAGAACCCACAGCTCCCAGGCACTGGTCCTCCAATGACTCCCTTCCCTTTTCCTCCAGCGTGGCCGGCAAGCAGAAGAGGAATGTGCCCATCGAGGAAGCCCCATTCCTAAAAAGGTACATTTCCTTGTTCGTTCTCTGGTTGGGAAAAGGCTCTTCAGCTCCAGAGGAAGGTGCTAGGCTTTGTCTGTGCACCTTTGGGCCTTCTTAGGCATGAGGAGGCAGTGCTCTCCCTCTTCCCTCTCAAGCATCATTTGATCTCTTTGGAAAACCATCTCCACCAAGTGACCCTGGACCTGACAGTGGGGGGTGGGGGTAACCACAAGGTCAGGCCTCTAACAGCTGTTCTTTGTGACAGAGAAAAGGACGACCTCCCGGACACATCCTGTCAAACGACCGGGCAGCTACCGGCATGGTGTGAGTAGGGCCAATAGTGTGGTGAGAGCTGAAAGGAGCAGGGGGGCCGAGGGACCCTGGAGGAAAAGAAGCTGGAGTTCTGTGCCTGGAAAAATCAGAAAATCAGATCCATCTGCTTAAGGCACTATGGAGGGGGGGTTACCCTGGTTTGGGGGGAAAGGAAGGAGGACAATGTGCAAGAAATGGTTTTATCCTGTTTCTGACCCAGAACAGCCTTGATTCCAGCTTGATTAGACACCAAGGTTTTTTCATTGTTAGTATATATTGAATGCTTGTAACTTGTCTAATACTTTACATACCTTACCTTTTAATTCTTACAACTGCCCTCTAAAGAAGATATAATTAATATTGCAAATTCCTGGGCTCAAGCAAGCCTTCCTCTTTGGCCTCCCAAAGTGCTGAGATTACAAGCTTGAGCCACCACACCTGGCCTAAAGATTTTTTAAGATTTAATTTTTTTAGAGTTTTAGGTTCACAACAAAATTGAGAGAAAGGTAAAGAGATATTCCATGTATTCCCCACCCCAAGTATATAATCTTGCCATTATAAACATCTGGCACCAGAGGGGTACATTTGTTGCAATTCATGATGAATGCATAGTTTACATAAGGGTTCATCAGACAGAAAAGGTATGAGGCAGTCAATCAATCAATAACACATGAGAGTTCACTCTTTTTTTTTTTTTTTTTTTTGAGTCAGGGTTTCATTCTGTTGCCCAGGCTGGAGTGCAGTGGCATGCTCACAGCTCACTACAGCCTCGACCTCCTAGGCTCAGGCGATACTTCCACCTCAGCCTCCCAGTAGCAGGGTCTACAGGTGTGCACCACCACACCCAGCTAATTTTTATTTTTTGTAGAGACAAGTTCTCACTGTTGTTGCCCAGGCTGGTCTTAAGCTTCTGAGCTTAAGCAGTCCTCTACCTCAGCCTTCTAAAGTTCTGGAATTACAGGTGTGAACCACTGCACCTGGCCCCAGGGTTCATTCACTCTTGGTGTTACATTTTCTGTGAGTTTGAATAAATGTATAATGACATATACCCACCATCATGGTGTTTTACAGAGTTCTTTTACTACCTTAACCCTATGTGCTCTGTCTATTCATCCCCCTTTTTCAAAGATTTTTTTGAAGCAGCAGAATCTTTTTTCAAACAAAAATTTTACCAAAAGCCTGGTATATATCCAATAGTGTGAATTTTGATTTTTTTTTTTTAAAGGAAACCCAATATATATAAAACAGATAAAGCCACACTGGTCTGGTTAAAGGGGGTGGGGATAAATTGAAACTATTATTGTGGAAGATAGAATAGCATTAATCATCATCCCTTAGATTTATCTCCTACCCGAAGCAATGTCGTTCTTCACAGACACAAGACAGGCAGGGCAGTTGCTATTTTATCTTCTTTTGACAGATGGGAAAGCCATCTCTCAGGTTCCTGGAGTTGTCCACACCACTACATAAGTTCAAAGCTTAAGTACTAGAATGGCTTCTAGTCCAGTGCTCTTTCCTTGATGCTCTAAAGGGTTAGCAGGTAGGAGGGCACCCAGGGCTAATGTAAGAGTGATAAGGAGCTCCTACCACCAGCAGCAAGTTTTCTTACACTCCTAGGCCTCATCTTGGAGAACTCACTTTTCTCCTTTCCTTCCAAGCAGATGGAAACCAAAATCCTGTGAACCAATTCGCCGGGAAGGCCCCAAGGTATGATTATGTGAATATGGCAGTGACAACTGTCCCAGGAGGACTTAACCAAGGCTCTGGGCCCACCATGAGGGAAAGGGGCATGGAGTGGTGAAGGGTGTGTACACACCATTCCAGAGCCATCTTCCCCTCTCCACCTCAGGCCACTCTGGCCCCCAGAGAGGATCCTATGTAGGAAATGGAATTAAAAGCAAAACAAAGAGAGAGCCTGAGTCTTTGCTGAAGTTTTCTCCCTGTAAGAGCTAGTGGCCACTAAAACTTATGCAGTACTTACTATGTGAGAGATACTGCCCTGAATCTTTTATATAGATTACCTTATTTAATCTTTATAACAAATTTTTCAGATAAATTCTGTTATTCTATAATTGAGGAGTTGTCTGCAAGCTCCCCTGTGGGCAGGAATTATTTTATTTTACCCAGTTGTCTTATACACTTAATAATGCACTTCTACTTGGAAGGCTGAGGCAGAAGGATCGCCGGAGCCCAGCAAGTTGAGGCTGCGGTGGCCAGGAGCAGCCACTGCACTCCAGTCTGGGTGACAGAGTGAGACTCCAACTCAAAAATAAATAAATAAATAAATAATGCACTTGAGACTTGCTCAAAGTCACATCACTAGAAAGTAATAGAGCCAAGTCTTGAACGCATGATTTGTTTTTTTTGTTTTTGTTTTTTTGCTTTCTGATTCAGAGTCTCACTCTGTCACCCCAGCTAGAGTACAGTGGCACACTGACAGACACTGCAACCTCAACTTGCAGGGCTCAGGTGATCTTTCTACCCCAGCCTTCCGAGTAGCTGGAACCACAGGCATGTACCACCACACCTGGCTTATTTTTTGATTTATTGTAGAGATGAGGTTTCACTAAGTTGTTCAGGCTGGTCTCGAACCCTTGAGCCTAGGCAATCCTCTAACCTCAGCCTCCCAAAGTGCTGGGATTACACTTGAGCCACTGCACCTGGCTATTTTATTTTACTTTTATTATAGAGATGTGGGGTACAAGTCAGGATTAGGTACATAAGTAGTCTATGTGTAAGTGAAGTTTGGGCCTCCAGCTTGTCCTTAGTTCTCCTGGTTTAGGACCAAGTACCCTTGGGGTTATTGTGTGTCCCCACCTTCCTCCCCTAGCAGTGTCCCGTGACTGTGATCTCTCCCTTGTGTTATTGTGGTTAATATTCAGGTTCCACTTATGAATGAGAACATATGGTATTTGGTTCTTTTTTTCTGTGACAGATCCCTAAGTATGAGAGTCTCCAGCTGCATCTAGTTTGCTGGGAAGTCCGTGATTTTGTCCTTGTTTGTGGCTGCATAATATTCCATCATGCACATGTACCACATTTTCTTTATGCAAGCTATTTTAGCAATCACATTCTTTCTTTATACAAACCATCTGTGGAACCCCAGTAGGTAGATAAAAGCACCCGTGTCCTCGTGGAGGCTGTGTCCAACAGACATTGTCCACCTCTTGTCTTTTGGTCCTCTCTGCTTTCACACTGGTTCATGCCCTTCTTCTAAAACTCTACTTCCTTAGAGCCAACGATCCTGCATTCTCCTGAATCTCTGCTCTTCTCCAAACATCCCTTCTCTCTCGTGAGCTCTTCCTCACGAGCAGTGGCCCATATAATGGGTGTTCCCAGAATTCCCTCCTTGACCCACTTGTCCACCTAAAGTAACTCTCTACATGATCTAAATCAGCTCTCTTATGGTTTCAGGGACCACCACATGCTAAAACTCTCATGCCTCTTTTTTCATCCCATGCCTCTCTACTTTAAAACATGTATCTTGGCCAGACATAGTGGCTTACACCTATAATCCTAACATTTTGGGAGGCCGAGGTGAAAGGATTGCCTGAGCCCAAGGGTTCGAGACCAGCTTGGGTAATTTAGCAAGACCTCGTCTCTACAATAAGTCAAAAACTTAACCAGATGTGATGGTGCACACTTGTAGATTCAACTACTTAGAAGACTGAGGTAGTAGGATCACCTAAGCCTAGCAGGTGGAGGCTGTGGTGACTGTGAGCATGCCACTGCACTCTGACTCCAAAAAATTAAATTAAAATAAAATAAATAAAATACTGCTTTATGACAACAGCCTCTAAACTGCTCTCCCTGCCTGCAGTCTTGCCCTTCACATTCATTATTCACATTACTAGAAGGGTGAGCTACCTTTAAAGTAAATCTGATCCTTACTTCCAGTTTAGAGGCCTTCAGTGATTCCCCATTGCCTAGAGAAGAAATAAATTGCAACCCCTGAACATAGCCTACAAGGCCTTCAGCTCCTCTGAGCTTCTCTCTCTAGCCCCATCAATTGGCACTCCCTAATTTGTACTCTCTCCGTTAGCAGCACAGAATTCCTTGTAGTTTCTCCAGCATGCCAAGCCAGCTCTCACCTTCCTTTGCTCATGCTGCACTCTGTCTAGAATGCCTTTCCTCCTCTCCTCTACCCTGTCTAACTTGTGCTTACCTACCCTTTCAGAATTTACTTGGGAATTGCTTCCTTAAGGAAGCCTTCCTGGCTATATCCTTTCCTCTGGCACCCTTTACCCCCTGTACTTATCTGTCATTACCCCTTTGCATAATGGTATAACTGTACATATGTGTGTGGTGTTCTAGAGAACAGAGACTTTGTTACTCATCTCTTTATCCCCAGCATCTAACATAGGGTCTAGCATATTGTAAGATCAGTTTCTTGAGTAAAGTTTGTTGAACAGTGGACAAGGGTGGGGGTTAGGAAAGGGCAGGGGGAAGAACGTTTCTGCCCGCCCACCAGATTAAACCTCACCCTCAACCACTTCTCTATTTTTTTGCATAGTGGGACCCAGCTCGCCTGAATGAATCCACTACCTTTGTATTGGGATCTCGAGCCAACAAGTAAGTCTAAGAGCTTTGGTACTGATGGAGGAAACACTCAGAGGTCTACTACCAGGACTGCACCTTCTGGAACTCTTACCACTCATCTTTTACTTTTCAGGGCCCTGGGGATGGGGGGTACCAGAGGGAGAATCTACATCAAGCACCCACACCTCTTTAAGGTAAGTGAGTGCTGGGAGGTAAGCAGGCCATTGCATTGGGAGTAGAAGGCATTCTCTGTGCAGTATGACACAGCGAAACTTGAAACAGACACTGATCTGCAAGCCGGGACATCTGGGCTCTAGTTGCCCCTCTGCAATTTATTTTTATGTTTTGTGATTTACTCAGTCCTTCTGTGATCAGTAATAAAGCTACTTTCCGTGCTTGCTTATTGGGTTCCAAACACGGATTTAAATGCTACACTTACATTATCTCATGAGATATATACTATCATCCTTATTTTACAAATTCAAAAGAAGCAGACGAAAAAGGCTGAGTTATTGCCAGTGTTACTCAGCTGGTAAGTGGTGACCTTCAAATTCAGATCTGTCTTCACCAAAGCCTGAGCTCATAACCACTGCTTTATTCAGTTGTCTATAAAATAAAGAGATTGGAGTAAGACAGGATTCTACCCTTTTCAAGAAAGGGACGCCTCTCCTGAGAACACTGGGCTTTGGTCTCCACTGTTGGAGGAAATTATAAATGTATATGATAATTATATATATATGTGTATAATTTTTTGTGTATGTCATATGTGTATGTTTAATCTTAAATGATTTTGTGTTTTGTCAGTCACACAAGCACCTAAGTAGATTAGAAAAACAGTGTATGTGTGTTCCAGACACGTTTTTATGCATTGTATATAAGGCTTGATGCCCCTTGCCAGAACTGCACAGTTCCTTTGGGGTCCCAGCATCACTGGCTCTCTTGCACATTCTGTGCAAGTTAGCAAGTTCTTGGAAGGGCAGACCTTCTCACTCTTTTTTCCAGTCTGATATCCTAGGAGTCCAAAACCTAAACAATTTGCTTACTGGCTACTTCTCTCTTCATAACGTCTTCACTCCTGCAGTTCCCCTTACCTGGATGACTTTCCTGTCCTACCCTTATCTGTCTGACTGTTATTTAAGGTCAACCACCTCTAAGAGCCTTACTTGTATCATCCCCAAAATAGATACGCTCTTGGACCTATGTTGAATTCCCATTGCATGATAGTTAAAAGTATGGTTTCAAATATCCAGACATGGGAGACTGACGGAAAGATCTCTTGAGCCCAGGAGTTCAAAGCTATAGTGAGCTATGATTGTGCCACAGCACTCCAGCCTGGGCAACAAAGTGACACCCTATCCCTAAAAAACTTAAATTAAATTAAAATGTTGGCTGGGTGTGGTGGCTCACGCCTATAATCCCAGCACTTTGGGAGGCCAAGGTGAGAGGATTGCCTGAGCCCATGGGTTCGAGACTAGCCTGGGCAACTTGATGAGACCTCTTCTCTACAATAAATCAAAAAAAATTAGCCGGGCATGGTAGCACATGTCTGTGGTTCCAGCTACTTGGAAGGCTGAGGCAGAAGGATCACCTGAGCCCAGCAGGTCGAGGCTGTGGTGGGCAACAGAGAGAGACTCCGACTCAAATAAATAAATAAATAAAATGTTTAAGAAGTGGGAGCAATAATAGACCAGCTCCTTAGGGCTAATTAAGAGAGAGTGCAGCAAAGCACCCAGCATAATGCCTGGCACAAGTAAGGGTTCAGTAAATGTTAATCATTATTGTTAACATAGTTTCCCAATTCTAAAATCCACCATTTGTAATAAACTCCCATCTCACACTCTCATTACTAGTGAATATTATCTCCTTTTTATTCTTTCAGTCTAATAAGTGAAGGAAAATTTTTTTTTCTTTTTTTTTTTTTTTTTTTTTTGAGTTGGAGTCTCACTCTCACCCAGGCTGGAGTGCATTGGCCGCTCCCAGCCACCACAGCCTCGCCCTGCTGGGCTCCAGCGATCCTTCCGCCTCAGCCTTCCAAGTAGCTGGAACTACAGGCGCGGGCTACCACGCCCAGCTAATTTTTTGATTTATTGTAGAGATGAGGTCTCTTGCCCAGGCGGGTCTCGAACCTGCGGGCTCAGGCAATCCACTCACCTCAGCCTCCCCAAGTAAGGGATTACAGGCTGAGCCACCGAGCCCGGCTGTGAAGGGAAATTTTTTACTTGATGTTTTTCTATTAATGATTGTAAGTATCTTTTCAGTTATTTAGAATCGATTTGTATTTCTTCTGTAAACTGCCTATATCTTTTGTCCATTTTTCTGTCCCTTAAAAGGCATTTTTTAAATTTTTCTTTTCCTTTTTTTAGATTATAGAAATATAAACCCATTCTGGTAAAAAGACAATACACAGGAGATAATAGAGAGCAAAACACAAGATACTCCCTTTACTTCCAACTCACTCTCTTGGTCACCAGCAACCACAGTAGTAACCATCCTCAGTCCCCTCCATACACGCATATGCATGTGTGTCCTTGCCCTTTAATAACTTTTGCTGGGTGGGTGCGGTGGCTCACACCTATAGTCCTAACACTTTGGGCAGCTGAGAGGATTGCCTGAGCCCACGAGTTCAAGACCAGCCTAGGCAACTTGAGACCTCGTCTCTACAATAAACCAAAAAATTAGCCGGGCTTCATGGCACATGCCTGTAGTTCCAGCTACTTGGAAAGCTGAGGCAGAAAGATTGCCTGAGCCTAGCAGATCGAGGCTGCGGTGGCTGTGAGCGTGCCACTGCACTCCAGCCTGGATAACAGAGGGAGACTCCAACTCAAAAAAAAGAAAAATACTATTTTGCTGATGTTATTGCTATTGTATTATACATATTGTCTAATTTTTTTTCACTCAAGAATTTATTCATTTATCGGACAGATATTTATTGAATGCCCATTATTTGCCAAGAACCCTCTCACGGCTAGGCACAGTGGCTTATGCCTATAATCCCAACACTGTGGGAAGCGAGGCAGGAAGATTGCTTGAACTCAGGAGTTCAAGACCAGCCTAGGCAATATAGTGAAACCTTATCTCTACAAAAATATAGAACCTTCTCACAAAGTACTGGAGGTAGAACAGTGAACAAAACAGACAATTCCTTTCCCTCATAGAGTACATTCTAGTGCAGGACAAACTAGGATGGTAAGCCTATAGCCTGGTTAGTCTGGTTTGATCCATTTCAGGCTTTTTATGCTTAAAGAATTGTAAAAAGAAGAAACAACAGATGTACATGGCCAGCAAAGCCTAATACTTACCAACTGAACTTTTAAAGAAAAAGTCTGCTGACCACTGTAAATATGGTAGATAATATCTTAGAGATTACAGGCATGAGCCACTGCACCAGATCAATTTACACTATTAAGTTAAATCTTCCTCACTTTATTTTTAACAACTGTATAGAGTTCATAGAATAGATAATCTTGTGCCAGTGCAATGGCTCACACCTATAATCCCAGCGCCTTGGGAGGCTGAGGTGAGAAGGACTGCTTGAGCTTAGGAGTTCAAGACCAACCTGGACAACACAGTGAAACCTCATCTCTACAAACAATCAAAAAACTAGCCCAGTATGATGCATACACCTATAGTTCCAGCTACTTGGGAGGCTGAGGTGGAAGGACCGCCTGATCCCAGGAAGTCAAGGCTGCAGTGAGCCATGATTATGCCACTACACTCCAGCGTGGGCAACAAAGTGAAACCCTGACTCCAAAAAAAAAAAAAAAAAAAAAAGGGTAATCCTTAATTTATTTAATCACTCCCCTATTGTTTTTTTAACATTTTGTTGTTATAAACAATGCTACACCAAACACCCTTGTGTATACACGGGGTAGTTGTGAAGAGTAAATTTCTGGAAATGGTACTGCTGGCTCCAAGAGCACACACTTTTAAATTTATACTTATATTACTTGGGAAGTTAGAAATAAATATTTAAACAGCCCAGATTTTTTAGCCAGGTCTCTTTTTCAAATATTCTACCTATTTTAAGCACTTATATGTCGGATACTATATTTAGCACTTTTTATGCACTGTCTCATGTATTCTTAACAACAAACCTGGCAGGCAACACTCTCACAGCTGTCCTGCCCATTGTGCCCTTCACAACGTATCTTCCCTTTAATAAATCTACCTTTCTTAATTTAAAAAAAAAAAAAAAACTATTAGTATTAAGACTCTCCATTTTACAAAGTTTACAAATAGGAAATTGAGTCTTAAGGAAATTAGTGCTCCAATTTACACCATCTAAAACCTCTGTCTGGTTTCTGGCAGAAACTATAATTTAAGCCTTATTTGTAACTCTAAAACCAGGATCTTAACCATGTTGCTATTTTGCCTCCCCCACTACATGAGGTGTTCTGAGGTTTTGTTGGTTTTGTTGTTGTTTGTTTTATAGAGACAAGGTCTCACTATATTGCCCAGGTTGGTCTCAAATTCCTGGGCTCAGGCAATTCTCCTCAGCCTCTCAAAGTGCTGGGATTATAGGTGTGAGCCACCGTGCCCAGCCCTGATTTTTGTTTTAGAAAATATGGTCACTATCAGCCGGGCACAGTGACTCATGCCTATAATCCCAGCACTTTGAAAGGCCAAGGCAAGAATATCACTTGAACCCAGGAATTTGAGACCAACCTGGGCAACATAGTGAGACCTCGCCTCTACAAAAAAATGAAAAAATTAGCTAGGTGTGGTGATGCATGCCTGTAGTTCCAGTGAGAGGCTGAGGCAGAAGGATCACCCAGGAGGTTGAGACTGCATTATGCTGTGACTATGCCACAATACTTTAGCCTGAGTGACAGTGAGACCCTGACTCAAACAAAAAATGGTTACCATAATAATCAGGTTTTATAAGCTACCTCAGATCATCTCAGCTCTAAAATGGTGGTTACCAGTCCACCAGTTGCCTGGGATGCTATGTTTTGAGAAAGGAAGGGAACAGGGATTAGAAGTGAAGTATACTAAATCTCTAAGAAATGGGTTCCATGGCCTGGCATACTAGACTTGCCTCAGCTTGCTCTGAAGAGATTAGTGAGCTTTCTACACCCACCAAACTAGGACATGGACTTATTAGGAAAAACTGCTCAAGGGCCAAGAGTATGCTCTGGGACCAAATGAGAAAAACCCCTTCTACTAGGCTAATGTCGCCCTCTGTAACTTCATCCCTCACAGTATGCAGCTGACCCCCAGGACAAGCATTGGCTGGCTGAGCAGCATCATATGCGGGCAACAGGGGGAAAGATGGTAAGTATCATTTGCATGTGCCACTCTGCCAAAGACCACCCTCAGCCTAGGAACCAGGATTCTGGTTGTTGGTGACAGTTTACCTCCAAATCTGGGAGTCTCCGAAAGCCTGATGGAAGTGGGAAGGAAGACTTATAAGCCCCATTCCTTCATGCTAAAGAGCAGGTTGTAATCCCTGGATTCCCTTCCCTATCCCTAGGTCTCCCTCTGCCCCCTCACCTTTCCACTCCATCCCTCTAGGACTACATATTTGGATCACGTTAGCTGTGCATAGGAATGACAGGTATAAGACACAATATTACTTATCCCTCATGTGCCCATTGATAGATTTCACTCGTTGATCACAACACTCTTTCATCAGACTTAGATAAAAAATCTTTTGAGCCAGGTGCGGTGGCTCATGCCTATAATCCCAGCACTTTGGCAACCCTGAGATTATGGGTTCTAGACTAGCCTGGGCAACTTGGTGAGACCTTGTCTCTACAATAACTCAAAAAAATTAGCCGGGCGTGGTGGCACATGCCTGTGGTTCCAGATACTTGGAAAGCTGAGGTGGAAAGATCACCTGAATCCAGCAGATTAAGGCTGCGGTGGCCGCCACTGCACTTCAGCATGAGTGACAGAGTAAGACCCCTACTCAAAAAGAAATCTTAACACAGTACTCCAGAAAGCATCCCTTGTCAACAGGAGTTAGCTCATGCAATGAAATGTGTTTGCCACACCTGGCAGCCCCTTCCAGACTCAACCTCAAAGACTTCTCAGAGCATATCAAGCAGCAACCTTAGGAAAATCATTGTTGCATGTGTTCTAAAACTATTGTGGAGGGCTTTGTCCATCACATGCAGTGTCCCTTACCTGAGGACTCACTTAATCCCACTGCTGGTACTGCTCATATCAGGATCTAAATGCTTTGCAAACTAGTAAGCCAACTGCTTTTTGGCAGTGAAAGCTTTATTTTATTTTACCACTATGTTTATGCCCACACTTTATTTCAAAAAATATTTCCTAAAGCTTACCACCAATACAGTGTAACATAGAATAAGTAAGAAATAAATGAGGCAGAGAGGAAAGACAAGACCTAAAATTCCTAGGCAGCGTGGCTCATGCCTGTAATCCTAGCACTTGGGGAGGCAGAAGTGAGAGGATTGCCTGAGCCCAGGGATTTGAAACCAGCCAGGACAATTTGATGAGACCTCGTCTTTACAATAAATCAAAAATTAGCCGGGCCTGGTGGCACATGCTTGTAGTTCCAGCTACTTGGAAAGCTGAGGAGGAAAGATCACCTGAGCCCAGCAGGTCGAGGCTGCAGTAGCTGTGAGCATGCCACTGCACTCCAGCCTGAGCAACAGAGTGAGACTCTAACTTGGAGGGAAAAAAAGACCTAAAATTAAGTCACCAGCAAGATGTGGCTTTAAAAGTTGTTTTTAATTGCTGACCTGGGAGACCTGTACACTTCTATAGGTGTTTGCAAGTTCAGCTGTAGGCCCCTCTCAAGGACACCTGACCTGTAGCCTGGTTGGTTCACAGTACCTATACGATGAAGATAGTCAAATTACTCACGGAGACACAATTATTCCTATCTCTAAGACTAGAAAGAAAATCTTACACAGAAAACTTTCTCTTTTTTTTTTTTTTCGGTTGAAGTCTCACTCCATCGCCCAGGCTGGCATGCAATGGCACACTCATTGCCTCGACCTGCTGGGCTCAGGCGAGTCTTCCACCTCGGCCTTCCAAGTAACCGGAACTACAGGTGTGTGCTACCATGCCCAGCTAATTTTTTAATTTTATTGTAGAGACGAGGTCTCACCATGTTGCCTAGGCTGGTCTCGAACCCACGGGCTCAGGCAGTCTTCTTGCCTCAGCCTCCCAAAGTGCTGGAACTACAGGCTTGAGCCACCACATCTGGCCCAGAACACTTTCTAATGTGGTGAACTAACATCTTCTACATGGAAAGCTGACAAGAGGGCCCTCACCCACCACAGACCATGGCATTGTGCCAGATCAGTTCTATAGGTCCAGGACAATACAACCCAATACTAGATGGCAATGTAGTTTATCATGTTTTCTTTATTGCCACAGAGCGCAAAACCAAATTATCTCAGTCCTCAGAATTAGCATATATGGCTCCTTTTCCTGATTCCTGTTTCCGTGCATATTTTGCTAGCTCTCTTGCCACTTTGTCATAAGCTACTTAGGGCCCTTTTTTTTTTTTTTTTGAGTCAGATTGTCACTCTGTCACCCAGACGAGAGTGCAACGACACGCTCACAGCCACCACAGCCTCGACCTGCTGGGCTCAGGCGATCCTTCCTTTCACCTCAGCCTTCCAAGTATCTGGAACCACAGGCATGCGCAACCACACCCGGCTAATTTTTTTTGAGTTATTGTAGAGACAAGGTCTCACCAAGTTGCCTAGGCTAGTCTAGAACCCATAAGCTCAGGGTTCCCAAAGTGCTGGGATTATAGGCATGAGCCACCATGCCTGGCTTATCAGGTCCTTTTTTAAAAGAGGAGGAGGCTAGCAGGGCGCTGTGGCTCACGCCTATAATCCCAGCACTTTGGGAGGCTGAGGTGAATGGATTGCCTGAGCCCAGGGTTCGAGACCAGTCTGGGCAACTTGGTGAGACCTCATCGCTGCAGTAAATATATAAATAAGTAAATAGCTGGGCACTGTGGCACACACTTGCAGTTCTAGCCATTTGGAAGGCTGGTCAAGGCTGCAGTGACCATGAGCGTGCCATTCACTGCACTCTACTCCAGCTTGGTGACAGTGAGACTCCGACTCAAAAAAAAAAAAAAATGCTGGGTGCAGTGGCTTCAGCCTGAGCAACAAAGTGAGACACCAACTCAAAAAAAAAAAAACTAAATAATCTAGCCTGGCCCAGTGGCTCATGCCTGAAATCCCAGCACTTTGGTAGGCAAGAAGATTACCTTAGCCTGGGGGTTTGAGACCAGCCTGAGCAACATGGCGAGACCTCGTCTCTACAATAAATCAAAAAATCGGCCAGACATGGTGGCACATGCCTGTGGTTCCAGCTACTTGGAAGTCTGAGGTGGAAGGATTACCTGAGCCCAGCAGGTCAAGGCTGCAGTGGCCCTGAGCATGCCACTGTACTCCAGCCTGGTCAACAGAGTGAGACTCCAACTCAAAATAGAAATAATAATTTAGTCACCAGTCCCTACTCTTCCATCTGTAAAGTGTCTATTTGAGGAAAAGATTTTCTGAAGAGAACCATTCCCCAGTCTCTCCTTTCTTACTTCCCCCTACTAAATTATAAACTACACCCCCCGCCCCTACTAGCAGATCCTACATTAAGCAGATATTTAATAAAGTGTTAACTGAGTTGGAGTAAAACTAATCAGAGGCAGTGACCACTCTCCCTTGCTCCTGCCCCAGGCCTATCTCCTCATTGAGGAGGACATCCGGGACCTTGCTGCCAGCGATGACTACAGGTAATACCAGTGGATCGATCTCCTGTCCCCTCACCTCCCCACTGCCTCAAAAGTATCTCTGTTGAGGCAGGGCCTACATTCTCACTTGCTTCAACTTCCCTCCTCCATATCTGTTCCAGAGGATGCCTGGACCTGAAGTTAGATGAACTAAAATCCTTTGTCCTACCCTCCTGGATGGTTGAGAAGATGCGAAAGTACATGGAGACACTACGGACAGAGAATGAGCATCGTGCTGTTGAAGCACCTCCGCAGACCTGAGGCCAGGCCCCCTGACTACACTTGGCAGCCTGCCTCCAAGACCCTCCCCTCATGGCTGAGGCCACTGCTGGGACTCCTTCCTACGTGGATCTCAGCGGCATTAAGCTGTGCCTGAGCTAGTTTATAGTGACTCACAGCAGAGTACCCTCAGACTGGCATGTGATTCTATATTTGTAAAGTTATTGGGATAAGAAGCGATTAAACAGTTTGTAATAAACACAGATGGTGAGCCTGCTGTGCCGTCTGCCTTGTGGGGGTTGACAGAAGAACATTAAGGGCTCTGGAAGAAGTGGGTGTAGGGGGAAAGGACCAGATAACCCTCCCCCATCACAGTATAGACCTAGGCTTGATGAGACCTAGCTTGGAACACCATATACTTTGCCAGTCTGTCCTGTCCCTCTAGATCGCTTCTTCACCCAACTAACGTAAGGATGTGGCAGAGTGTGATGGTTAGTCCCGTGAGAGTTAGATTACAGACCATATGAAAAATACAGAGGTGGCTTTTGTTACCCCATTTTACATATAGACACTATGTACCTGCCCAAAGTCACAGAGCAAACCAGTTGGAAAGGCAGAATATAAACATAAGTTTTCTAACCAGGGAGCCTGCTGCTGTGGCCATCAGCCTCTAGTTTTTTCCCCCCGCTAAGATTTTCAGATACTTGGGACCTCTACAGAGTTTTCCAGGCCATTATAATGAGGCAAGGAGCAGAGGTTTCCGGTTTGGGGGAAGGGTAAATTGGATTGGAGACACTCCCTCTCCCAGGGAGAAGGGATCAGGGCTGGGCGTGTGTTCCGCGCATACCGAGCAGTTTGACTTTAAGGGACTTCGTCCCACGTGGACTTGTTCTTGGCCCTTTGATGGTCGGCGTTTTCCAAAGGCTACCAATCCGCTGAAGTTTCGTTAATTAATGGCAGACTTTTCTGCCAATCGGTCGTCAGAAGCGGCATTCCCGCCGGCCAATAGTGGTGTGCTGCTGGGTGGATCTACCAGTTGCGCAGCAACAGAGCACTTCGGCGCGTCCCATTGGCTGGATCAAACCCAAGCGAGCTACTGATTGGTCGACGCTACCGACGAGTTACAATTCAAACGCGGGCGGGCGGGCCCACGGCCCTGCAGTTGCAATCGTGTTCTCTGAGTTCCTGTCTTCCTGCCAGCGCCTCCCGGATGGCTTCCCAAAACCGCGACCCAGCCGCCGCCAGCGTCGCCGCCGCCCGGAAAGGAGCCGAACCTAGCGGGGGCGCCGCCCGGGGCCCCGTGGGCAAAAGGTGAGTGATACAGAGGTTAACACTCGCCGGGTCTGGCATACCCTGGGCATTGGGACCCCGAGCGAGGACTTCTGGGACCCCCACCTCCTTCTGGAGAGGGCAGATACGCGGGTGCCGGAGACTAGCCCCAGGAGCTTGAGTCTGGTATGTCCTGAGCATTGGGGTGGAGGGCGAAGACCTCTGGGATCCCCACCTCCTGGAGCGGGCAAGATTTGGGAGAAGGGACACGACAGGAGCTCGGACTAACTCTATAAGGACCTCCCGTTCTCTTTGAAGAAGAGAAAACGAAGGACAGGAGGGCAGGGATGCTGCTAGGCTCCTCCAGGAGTGGGCCAAGATGAAGATGAGCAGGAACCCTCTGTAACTTGGTGGTGGGGACACGGGGAAGGGAAGAAATCGAGGTCGGGCCCGGGGAGAAACGCCAAAGCAGGGAGAATTAAGAACATGTCAGAATCATTCTGAGGGACCCTGGAATTAGGGAGACTGAGGACTCACTAGGACCCCCTTTGTGGAGCCGGTGAGTGTACCCTGAGCTGAGTCTGACATTGGGGAAGTGGGGAAAGAAACCTGCCTGACAGCGCCTCCTGATACACGTGGAAGTTGATGCTCCACCTGGAGCCCTGGCCTAGACTCCCAGGTAACTTCGAATGCCCCTTTTGCAGGCTACAACAGGAGCTGATGACCCTCATGGTGAGTGACACCGAGCGCCCAGATCCCCAGCCCATTGGTCCATCTCCCACCCAATTATCAGTCTCCTTTCCCACCTCTGCCTTTTTGCCAGACAAAAGGGTAAGAAGATGAGTAGAATTTGCTCTTCTGGGACAAAAGTTCATACACTTCACCTACACCTTTTCTTCCAGCGGTCTCTCCTCCCAATGCTGTGCCCCCACAATGATATCTCTAAAACACAACTCCCCCAAGTCATGCAAGGCCTTTCCTGTCCTGTCTGTCCCTACTTCCTGACCCAAGTTTTACCATCACACCCAATCCTCACCCCCACCCTTCTTGGTATTTCTAGTCCTGTCAAACCTTGGAATACCCCCTAAATGTCTTTCTCTTTCTCCTTGTGTGGTCTTTTTATTTTATTTTTCTTCACTGGCCTGTCCTTGACCTTGAACTGTAGTGTTATTTTTGGTTTTTTTAAAATTCTTTAGTTGAGCCTTTGTGATGTATGTTAAATAAATATGTTTTAGTTGGTTGTTTTGTACAAGTTACCTTGTAGTTATCCTAGGGTTGGAAGTGCTCAGGGTAGTGCTTTGAGTGCCATATTAGCCCTGAACATTCAACTCAGATCTTTCAGTACCCATATTATATATCTTCCTAGTCTATAAATAGTCTCTGGGCTTTTTATATAACTGCACTTAATAGCATGTTTAATCGAATTTCCAGCAATCAACAAGATTGTGGGTAAAAGCTGCCTCTGTTTCCCTGTACATCCCCTCCTTCCTTAGCCTGGCCATGAAATCTGTAAGCCCAATACTCTTCCCCAGAAGGGCACATTCAGCCCAAGAATCTAATCACTTTCTCAGAAAAACCTATCAATTTGGTCTGGTTGCTTTATTTTAGATCAGTGTGATGAGATTACAAGGAAAGGGGCTTACCCACTGACTCCCTTTGCTATGCCCTGCAGTTCAGCAAATGTGTTTCCTCTCCAGATGTCTGGTGACAAAGGAATTTCTGCTTTCCCTGAATCAGACAACCTTTTCAAATGGGTGGGAACCATTCATGGAGCAGCTGGAACAGTAAGTATAGGGTTGTGGTGGGTGTGTGTGACTATGCTGCATCTGGGGAAAGGTGGGAGGTGAGATCAAATAAGAGGCCAGGCAAGGTGGTTCATGACTGTAATCCCAACACTTTGGGAAGCTGAGGTGGGAGGCTTGCTTGAGTCCAGGAGTTCAAGACCAGCCTAGGCAGTCTACAGAAATGGACCTCTTCTTTACAAACATCAAAATATTACCTAGGTGTGGTGGTATGTAGTCCCAGCTATATGTGAGGAACACTTGAGCCCAGGAGGTCAAGGCTGTAGTGAGCCATGATTGTGTCACTGCACTCCAGCCTGGGCTACAGAGTGAGATCCTGGCTCAAAAAAATAATGCTGGGCACGATGGTTCACACCTGTAATTCAGCACTTTGGGAGGCCAAGGCAAGGATTGCTTGAGCCCAGGAGTCCCAGGCCAGCCTAGGCAACATGCCGAGACTTAGTCTCTACAATAAAATTTAAAAATTAGCCAGGCATGGTGGTGCACGCCTGTAGTCCCAGCTACTCAGGATGCTAAGGCGAAAGGATCTCCTGAGCACAGCAAGTCAAGGCTGTGGCTGAGCCATAACTGTGCCACTGCACTCCAGAATAGGCTCAGAGTGAGACCCTGGCTCAAAAAAATAATGCTGGGCACAGTGGCTCATGCCTGTAATCCCAGCACTTTGGGAGGCCAAGGCAAGGATTGCTTGAGTGCAGGAATTCCAGACCAGCCTAGACAACATGCCAAGACCTATTCTCTACGGTAAAATAAAAATTTACCAGGTGTGGGGTGCATTCCTGTAGTCCCAGCTACTTAGGAGGCTGAGGCGGAAAGATCACCTGAGCCCAGCAAATCAGGGTTGTGGTTGAGCCATGATCGTTCCACTGCATACCAGCCTGGGCTACAGAGTAAGACCCTGGATCAAAAAAGTCAGAAGTCCAGATCTATGTCTAATCTCCTAATTTTTACATGTTACTGACTAATATTCTAATTGGACTAAAGCACAGCTATAGTATCCCACAGGATGCCAATTTCTAACCCTTAACCCAAAGAATTACTGTTGTCTCCACCAGAAAAGAGGAAAGCACCAGAACAAGCTTAATACTTTGTCTACTATCCAGTCCCAGACAGAAATTCAAAAGGTCCTAGCAAGCCCACATTAGGGGTTTGTGTTGCAGTATGAGGCCTGGGTGGTGAAGCTTACTGCCTGCCTAATTCTCCAAATGCCAGGTGTATGAAGACCTGAGGTATAAGCTCTCTCTGGAGTTCCCCAGTGGCTACCCTTACAGTGCGCCCACAGTGAAGTTCCTTACGCCCTGCTACCACCCCAACGTGGACACCCAGGGTAACATCTGCCTGGACATCCTGAAGGATAAGTGGTCTGCCCTCTATGACGTGAGGACCATCCTGCTCTCCATCCAGAGCCTGCTAGGAGGTGACTTAAGAGACCACCCCTCCCTGCATGCAACCTGGGAACCTGTCAGGACCCCCCTGAGTCAACCCCTTCTACCCTCCTGACCTAATCATTCTCTTTCTCTTCATCCACAGAACCCAACATCGATAGCCCTTTAAACACACATGCTGCCGAGCTCTGGAAAAACCCCACAGGTGAGTCCTTCATCCCTGAGCACAGGGTGATCCCTCCCTAAAGGCTCCCTCAAACAGAAGGATTCCAGTAACTTGGGACTAGGTTAGGGGTCAGGGTCAACCTACTTCTGCCTCTGCCTAGTGCTCCTGTTTGCTATTACAAACATGGGGAAATTAGCCCCTTCCACGTGAGCACGGGCCAAGGGTTTTTTTAAGAAGAGTGCCTTGCCTGTGGTCTCCCCGAAAGCCAGACCCTTCTGGGAGAGCTGAACAGGTAGGTGGCAGCATGGGGAGAATCTGTTGTGCTAGGAAGCCAGTCCCTCCCCAACCACCTTTGCATCCCTGGTCAGGCTGCCCTCTTGCCCACCTTAACTCTTCCTGTCCCCAACACTCACCGAGACCTGCCTGTTCTCTTCCAGCTTTTAAGAAGTACCTGCAAGAAACCTACTCAAAGCAGGTCTCCAACCAGGAGCCCTGACCTGGGCCATTCAGCCTCTCCTGTGTCGTATTTTATTTTATCTTTTCCTTAGATGGTCTGTCCTTTCCTTGATCTTGAGCTGTGGTGTTATATTTGTTTTGTTTGTTTTTTAAATTAAGTCTTTGGTTGAACCCTTGTGATGTATATTAAATAAATATGTTTTAGTTGTTTTTTTCCTACGAGTTGCTGACTTGCAGTTACCCTAGGGATGGAAGTGCTCAGGGTAGGAGAAGGTCAAGCTTAAGGCCTGGACTTTTGCCCTGTTCCTCTCTAGGGGTGGACGCAGCTATAGGGTTGAGCAGCAGGGTGACTAGGATTTGTTCCCTTGTGACCTTAGTTATTTTGCCTGCATCTGTTTAGTCTATAAAATGGGTATCACAATAATGCCTTTGTGGAGTTGTAACATGTGCCAGGAATGTTAATGAATGCTAAAGCTGCACCCTCAGCTGTGTTGCAGATGACACTGAACCAAACCTTAGGCTGAAACTCACTCTATAGCAATAGAAGGAACGTGTGTATTGGAGAGGACCAGCTATCCATTTTCTGACATGTTCTGCCCTGAAAAAGGTCACCCAACAGCAGGTCTAAGGAAACAGCCAGGGAAAATATCCCTTCCCCAGCAGGACTCCAAGAACTGAACTCTGGACTTCGGGTCCTAGTCCGGGTCTTCAAGGAGACACGTTCACCTGCTCCATATCCACTGGCCCAGGTCCCCAATCCCTTGGGCTTCCTGCTGGCCTGCCACAGGCTCAGGTCTTTGAACCCCTAGAGGAAACACCCATGCTGTCCAGCTGGGTACCCCCAGGGGGAAAAGCAGGTTGATGAACCCGGCCCAGGTCCTGAAGGAAGATATCAAAGATGGAGAAATAGCACCCAGGTACACTCCAACCTTGCACTCAACTCCTTCAGCTATGCCAGCAGCTGGTTGTGCAGGCCTGAGGGGAAGAGAAAGAGGCAACAGGAGAGATTCTCATCTACCTCTTCCTCTTAACTTTGCTAGCATAGGACCCTCTCCTCTGCCCTGTGTCCCCCACCAAGTAGCCGCCTATAAAAAACGTTGGAGTTGTCAGGTCTGGGTTGGCAGTTGGGTATCTTCATGTCTACAATTGTGCTCTTAGGCCAGGTGTGGTGGTTCAAATCTGTAATTCTGGCACTTTGGGAGGACAATGCGAGAGAATTGCCTGAGCCCAAGAGTTTGAGACCAGCCTGGGCAAATTGACAAGACCTCAGTTCTACAATAAATCAAAAAATAGTTGGGCATAGTGGCATACACCTGTGGTGCCAGCTACTTGGAAGGCTGAGGTAGAAGGATTGCCTGAAGCAAGCAGATTGAGGCTGCAGTGGCCATGAGTGTGCCACTGCACTCCAACCTGGGTGACAGTAAGACTCCTGCTCAAAAAGAAAAAAAAACTTAGGCTTTATCTTGAGGGCAACAGGAAGCTAATGAAGCCTTGAGCAGGTCAGTGATATGATCAGATGCTTTTTTTAGAAAGATCTTGCTGGCTGGGGAGTAGTGAATGACAGAAAGGGGATTAAAGGGGATTATTAAGAGTCAGGTAAGCAATGGTGGTGAGTGGGCATGGGAGAGGGGAGATGGGATGGCAAGGAGACAGAAGGTAGCAGGACACTGAGTAATCAGGTGGAGAAGGAATGTGAGGACTCCTGCCTTGGGCTTCAACCTCAGAGTTCCATCCCTGAAATGGGGAACACAAGACAATAAGATGGAGGGGGTCTCATCAGTTTAGGGTAGGGCCATTTGAAGAGCTCCAGACAACCAGATAGAAATGTCAACAGGTAGATGCTACCACAGTTAAGAGCCTTGCCCTCTGCCCACCACATAGCGATAGTATCTAGATTCTTATCTGTGAAACTGTGTACTTCACCTCCAGAGGCCTTGTTTCCAACTGTAAAATGGAGACAATAATAGCATCTGAGCCAGGCTCGGTGGCTCAGCCTGTAATCCCGTGCCTTTGGGAGGCTGAGGTGAGTGGATTGCCTGAGCCCGCAGGTTCGAGACCCACCTGGGCAGCGAGACCTCATCTCTACAATAAATCAAAAAATCAGCCGGGGTAGTAGCACATGCCTGTAATTCCAGCTACTTGGAAAGCTGAGGCGGAAGGATCGCCGGAGCCCAGCAGGTCGAGGCTGCGGTGGCTGGGAGCAGCCACTGCACTCCAGTCTGGGCGACAGAGTGAGATTCCAACTCAAAAAATAATAATAATAATAGCATCTGCCTCTAGGGGTGTTGTAAGGATGAATGAGACAACCTCTATAAGGTACACAGTAGGCACTCAATAAATAGTGATAATTACTAAACCCAGCACTGATCCTGACTGGAAATAAAAACGGGAACAAGGCCAGGGGCAGTGGCTCAGGCAATCCTCTCGCTGAGGTGAGAGGATTGCCTGAACCTACAGCCTTGAGACCAGCCTTGGCAACCTGGTGAGACCTCATCTCTACAATAAACCAAAAATTAGCTGGGCAGGGTGGCACATGCCTGTAGTTCCAGACGCTTGGAAGGTTGAAGCGTGAGTGTGCCACTGCACTCCAGCCTGAGCAACAAAGTGAGACTCCAACTAAAAAAAAAACAAAAAACTGGGGAACATATAAATGGGATTAAAAGGAAGAAGAGAAAAGGATGGAGATGGGAGGGAGAAAGCTGTAGCAATGAATTTGGATAATAGTGTTCAGAGTTTCAAGATGATGATAATGATTTTAATAATAGGTAGCATGTATTAAATGCTTGCTGTGTGCCAGGCACTGTTCCAAGCACTAACACACTAACTTGTTCTCACAGCCCTATTATAACTATCATTTCCATTTTACAGATGAAGAAACTGAGGCACAGAGTGGTCTGTCACCAGCAGTGACAATTCAAATTCAAGCAGCCTGACTGTCAAGCTAAACTACTAGCTATAATCTGACACCCATTATGTACAAAGAGCTATAGGGGATGGATTCAGTGGGGACAGGGTTCAAGGGAGGAGAAGGTATCTGAGTTGGGTCTTGAAGGCTGAAGAATTTGCAGGTTTATAAGAGGGGGAAGGGCATTCCAGGAATGGTGAATCGCATGTGCAAAGAGGTCCAAGGGCCTGAAAATGCACCCAGGTACCTATCAGGAATAAATTGTCCAGTGTGACTGGAGCCCAAGGGTTATGTATGGGAAAGGAGGGAAGGAGGAAGGAAGATTTGGATTTGTTTCTGGTAGGCAATGGAGAGTCTTTCAACAGGGGAGGGGCCCGGTCAGATACCCTTTCAGTTAGATCAGGCTGATGGTCCTCTGTCAAGTGCACTGGAGGCAAAGACAGGGATCCGGTTCCAAATGAGACAGGAACCCCCATCACGGCCGTGTGCCCTACCCTCCCCTACCACCGCCAGTGGTGGAGCGCCTAATAAGCCCGGGGATGAACATATGTAGAAGGTCAAGCAGAAACAAGGCTGACTGACATGGACCCTCCCCTCCCCCCCAGCCCAGTAGCCTGCGGTAGGTGGCAACTCCGACACCCAAGACCCAAAGATTCCAGAAAAGAAGGACGGTGGGGAAGTGGGGACGTCTCACAGCTCTCCCCGGATCCTAGCCTCCTCGCACCCTCACCCTGCCCGCTGTCCCGAGCTCCCTGCGCGGCCGCAGGCTCACCCCGACTCAGCTCGACGAAGCCCTGCACCTCCACCTCCACCACCAGGCGCAACCCCCGCCCACGCCCAGCGCCAGCTGCTGGGAGAGGGCCGCGAACCCGCGGAGCGCGTCCAGCACCGCCCGCTCCCTTCCCCGTCCAGCCGCTTAGACGGCCTCTCCCCGG